TTTCACGTGCGCTATACTCTCTCTCTTTCCCTTCCCTTTCACTCCCTCTCTCCTTCCCTTCCCCATTATCCCCTTTCTCCTACCGCTCGACGGCAGTTTCCTGAACAAAAATTGGAGAAATTTCTGGGAAAAACTTGCAGAAAAGTGGTAGAAAACTGGGAGAATTGGCAGAGATGGTAGGGTAGGATGAGGGATGGGGAAAAGAAGGAGTCGTATGAGGAGGAAGTCAACGTATTCTGCAAAGTTTCCCAACGGCAGAATGTGCACTGCACCCTAATCCCTCTCCGTCGCACTATCCGTTGCTCCAGTTTGACGTCTCCATTTTCTCCTTTTGGACATATTCTGCTGTGGCCCATAAGAAATTCTTGATGACGTCTTTCAGGCTATTCTTTGGGGTCCCTTGTGGTCCTCGGCTTGGGGTTTTCAAGCCCAGACCAGTGCCATTCTGTCGCGTGGACCTCAGAGCTGCTAAACACGTGCCTGTACCAGCTGTCACTGCTCTCGAACCTTCTGTTGGCTACGGAGTACAGCATCGTGATGTGTGAAATGGTGGTGAAGGAACGACCCCCCCCCTTCGAGAGACGCTGTCAGTACGACCCCCCCTCCCACCTCAATGGGAGTGGGGGGGAGAGGATACGGTATATAGTACACATGAAACAGGCAAAATCACGCGAAAAGTCAACAACCGGAAAAATTTTTCCCAACGCAGCAAATTTCTCTCGAACGCACATACGACCCCCTCTCTCCCAACGACCAAATACGACCCCCCTCCCCAGCGGGAAAGTACGACGTCCCCCACCCTATGAGTTTCACACAACGATGCTGTACCCTTGTTCTAACTGCCGTCCACATGAACCCCCCCCCCAGCGATCCCCTCGTGTCAGACTCTATCCGGTGAGCTCCAGCTGCAGGCTTATCCCAGTGTCCTCGTTTCAGCAGAGTGAAGTTGTGTCCTATGGTTCTAGCCTAAGGGTCATCACTAAGTGCTGTGGGGCATAGTTGAGTTCTTACTCCTTGGTATCAATTATTCTGGAGCACCGCCTGTCGCAGAGCATGACAGTGGCTCAGTGCTTTTTATCCGAGTTGCGATTATTTGAGCCTGTACTGCCTGGAGGACATAGTCAGCGGCTAGGTCGCTTCTCGGGCACCGGCAGTCCTTCCCTCTCGATGGTTTTCTGGTGATAATCCACGTTGCATCAGTCGCTTCTCGGAGCCCAGGAAGTTGTCTTCTTCGGATACACCATTCTCATTTCTTTGAGAGGAGTACTCCCATTCAAGCGCACGCTCTGCCCACTCTGGGCGGGTCTCAGCATAGCTCAGACACGCTCAAGTTCCCCTGAAACTTTTCGAAAATTTTAAGGTCGACATCGGAGGCTGTGTCTCTAGATGCACTTGTGCTGTTGATATGTTGTTTATTCAAGAAGTATGAATGCAGCATGAGAGCATAGTTCATGAATCGAATTTTGCAGCGTGTGAGATGAGCAGACCCGCAGAAGCCCTGCTACCTTAGCGACTCAAAGGTGTTTGACAGATATGCCAGGGATTTGTGATCTCTGATTGACCACGCCCGCTCAGTGAATTGTATCGCATGGAGAGTAGCATTTTCGCTCGTATCTCTACTTTCTCTGGTCTCTGTTCCGTACAGACAGTTTTTCTTCGTCACAAGCTTCTTTCAGATTACCTACAAGGAGGAAGGCCCCTAATATAAACGTTTCCGATGGCCTGATTTGCTTTTTTCTTCGCTATCGAATCACCTAGCAAGTACAAGGTACTGCTTGAATCCCACTATCCATACTTGCCATGGTGAAATCTGACTCCAAGAAGTAACCATTACACAAGGAGTGTGGCGACATTACGGCTTCTTTGTTCTTCACTCTTTATTGAATTCCGCATTGTACTAATGTACGTTGTACTTTGAAGAGCAACGAAGGCGAAGCACAATTTAGTAATGAAGTCGTAGTTGTTTTAAAAGTACAGGTGTGGCACATTACAATTTTGTTCAGAAAAATACGGGCAGCTTTCAGATGAATGAACAGTATTAACGCCATTTGTCGGAATTAGACGACAGAGATAGTATGAAAAGTAATCCGAAAATCCCACAGGTAAGTTCTGAAAAAGAATTCACATTCCATAAGAATGGTCTCACTCATGAGCTCATTCACTATACTGTACGCTTCACCGTCGACATGAAGACGGATCTACAGTAAACTCCCAGACAAATACTTGCCATGATGTGTTCAAAGAATAAAGAGAAAACGCGAACTCGTACTTTTTTGTTTTTTTACTGGACCTCCAGCATCCCATTTCTCGATGAAAGGTGAGGGAGCTCAAAAGTTCATGAGACGTTGTATCAAGACTGTCATCAATGGGAAAGACTTCTTTTGTCTTGCTGAGCTCTGGGGAGCTGTGGGAAGCTCCGCTACCCACAACATCGACAAGCAACATCAACGGCTTGTTGAACATCTTCACGAGTGCCAGAAAACCAGAGAGTTCCCCGGTTAAGAAGGAATTTCTATCTCTGGAAATTCTCAAGCTGATACGTCAAAGTGGAGACGCACAAGCTGCCGACAATTAGCAATGTCCGAGTTTGCGAAGCTGTGCAAGGAAGCCATAAAGGAAGACTTTAAGGATAGAAGATCAGCAGTACTGGTTGAAACAGCAGAGTCTAAGAGGGCATTTGGAAAGCTCCCCAGTGAAGCCCTGGGTATCCGGGTGTCCTTATTCAGTACATAGGAATTGTTCCGGAGCTTTACAGGATCTCTACGACTAAAATTTGACAAACAAGGAATTTATTATTGAGCTGAAGAAAGGGGTTCTACAGGGGCGACACCATCTCACCTAAATTCTTCAGTGCCTCCCGAGAACGTGAGTCAAGTGGAATTGGAAGACGTGGGAGTGAAGACCGACAGCCGGTAACAGCATCAACTCAGCTTTGCTGAAGTCATCTTACTGACAACATCAGACATCAATTAAGCAGAGCGAATGTTGGCTTCGGCGTGCGGAAAAGAAGGTTTGCAACTGACTCTAACGGTGACCATATTCACAAAGAATCGGCGGTTTCTGATGCTATTCTCACTCAACCGAACGAACAACGTGAATGCTCTAGTAAAGTTGGTACATCACAGTCAGTCGGGGCACTTACGAAAGGGATGCACAGCCCACCCACAGCTTCCACCACTGCTTTCCTTACTAGGTCTGTCACCAGCCGATAACCATTGGTAGAGCATGACAGCCGGAAGTGAGCTCATTCCGCCCTCCTGCCACCACCCCGCCCGCTTGCAACGTTACCCTATATGTGTAGTTGAAAGGGGAAATGAGTAAGCTGGACGAAAAGGCATCAGAGCTGAGCATGAATTAGCTAGCGGTTGGGTAGCATTCAGAAATGTAATAGGTGCTAGTAGCAAACTGTATGAGGAACTTCCGGCAATAGCCGGCTCCTTGCTCAACACTTCTCGTTTCCACTGCCTCTTCTGCCTTAAACCACATCTCAGAGACTTGGATTCTACGAAGATAAGATGAACATGCAGCTGGCGTTACCCATCGCGCTGCCGAGAAGACGACGAGGTTTACCGTTCCCCTTATGTAAATGCAAGATCAGAAACCCAGTCCGCCACTGTCCCAAGTATCACGTAGGCTGGACACTCTATACAAGGCTGGTTGTTGAATCAAAGCGATTACTGATTCCACGAAATGTTAAAAGAGCCGCTGAACGACCGCCCACTAGCCTTTTCATGGAACTGTGAACGAATGGTGCGCTATTCATCGTTCGTTCATCCCTCGAGCACAGGGAGCCTATTGGGCAACTCTAGCGCGTT